TAAATAAATAAATAAATAAATAAATAAATAAATAAATAAATAAATAAATAAATAAATAAATAAATAAATAAATAAATAAATAAATAAATAAATAAATAAATAAATAAATAAATAAATAAATAAATAAATAAATAAATAAATAAATAAATAAATAAATAAATTTTTTAAAGATCTTTTTAAAAGACAACCTGCATTTTCCAAAAGAAAGGGAAAAAAATTAAACATCCTGGACTGGGGCAAAACTTGTGATCCTTACAAACTGGGACAGACTATTTTATTTGTAACTTCTGAGGTTATGGTTAACAAAATTTAAAGACAAACTTTTGAGGTAAAAAGTAACAGCTCAACATTGAGCAAAGCATACACCACAGAACAACTCAAAGATTAAAGGTTAGTTATAATTCTTTTATTACCTAATTCCCTCTGCTCCAATTGAGTCACGAGGCGGGCATTTCCCTCATTCCCACTCCCTAATGGAGACAACGACCTAACAGTTTTTAGCGGTCACACTATACAAAAATGGCCTAAACTTTGTGCACTCAGTCTCAGCTACATGTGACCTTTGGTTAGTGTTATTCTACTCTACGGGGTAGGACCAAGAAAACGAAGGAAGCTCATAATGAACACACGCAAGTCTTAAATCAGTCAAGAGAAACATAACTCCGAAGTACTTTAACAGAAACAACTTAACCTAACATCTTTTGTTTAGAGATAGCAAGAGCCAGTTCCCCTCTGGCCCTCAGTCTATCCCATAAACTACCAGATGTCAAGGTCAAAACTTAAGCAATTTTCACTACTCACTTTTAATTATGTTGACCTCCCCCCCACCCCCCTCCAAACCACCCTAAACCCCAAAAAACCCCACAGAAAATTTTTGATTGTTCTTTATTTACCCTCAAATGAATGTTTCCACGCCTCCTCTCCTAATAATGTATCCCCTTTTCCAAATAGATACTTAAGGTTATTCCCAAAGAATGAAAAGAACCCAAAGTCCTATTAGACTGACATTAGACTTGAGTTAGTACCCCCACATGGACAGCTTCTTCCGTAAGGGTAAGGGCAGAACGGTCAAGAGAGACGGTTAGATTCTAGAGACTGGTGCACATCCTAAAAACCAAAACTAAGGCGTCTTACCTAGGTGTTGCTAAATGGATAAACAACAAATAACACATGAGTACACACAAACAAACAATCGAAAACACACACAAAAACAATACACACACACACACACACATAAAAAAACTGAAACACAAAAGACTACACAGAAAATACAAGAGATAGTATAGGAAGAAGAGAACGAGAAGATGGTAAAGAAGTAAAAAGAGACCGAGACGGAAGAGAAAAAAACTGAAAAGATATCAAAAGAGAGAGAATACATACACAATTCACACTTACACACATCGTGAGACTAGGAAGCAAGAACAGACATACATAAACAATATCTAATAAAACCCACATGTAACACAAAAAGTAACGAACAACGTCTACTAAAGAGAGTGTGCTAGAACTTCCCACAAGAACAGCACATCACTTGAAGGTCGGTGTTGTCCGACTGACGTCATCACCGAGGAACTAATCTGTCCCCTAAATCACTCAGGTAGGTGGGGGCCTAGGCCACACTGGCTTCTGTGAGAGGGGAGGGAGGGGGTGTCTGAGGACTCCGATCATGACATAGAGCCAGTACTAAGTGACATGTGGGAGAACTTAAAAAGAAGAAGTCATAATAAGAATAAACAAACAAATACACAAATAAAGATTTACCAGACAAAAAATCAATCGTGGAACTTACAAAAAAAATGACAAATCAACAAAACAAAAAATACTCACATAAAACTTACTGGACAAAGGAACACGCTGGTTAACGTACACAGAAAAGGGTATAAACAAACAAATACACACATAAACACTTACTAAACAAAGGGACACGGAGATCAGCTAACAAAGAAAATACATAAAAACAAACAAATACACAAATAAAGACATACTTGACAAGAGTACACACTGGCGAATTTACAGAGAAAAAGGCGTAAAAAAAAAACTAACACACGCAAAAAGACGTACTAGACAAAAGGACACGTGAGCGAAATTACAAAAAAAAGACATACAAAAAAAACAAATACACTCATAAATACTTACTTGACTCACCTAAAACTTCAGTTCTGGCGCCGGTGTTGACCGTCAAGAGGAATCCAAAATCCGAGGAGGGTTCGAAGGTCGAGGGTTCTAGCGGGTGGTCAGCTGTGAGGGTGCGCGGAGAGAGTTCCATACGCTGAACCTCATCAAATCCGCGGCGCTCCAGCGTTGGTTGGGGTCCTTGTGTAACAGCTGGAGGAGGATCCTCCGATAGGGTTCCCTGACCTTTCTACAGTAGTCCTTGGCAGCCAGCGGGTCTGGGTGGATTGTATGGCTTCTGTACACGAGCAGCCACATGGTCACTCCCAAGCTGTACATGTCGAGCTGTGAAGGGAAAAAAAGAGGAACAGTTCGGAGATTAGTTAAGCTTGGTGCAAATATCTTTGTAAAAGAGAGAGAGGGGGAGAGAGAGAGAGAGAGAGAGAGAGAGAGAGAGAGACGGGGGGGGGAGAGAGTGAGAGATTAAAAAATGATCTTATAGCTCATTTCAACATAATATGACTCAACAAAAACACATGTCCTTGCGGCGTGTCAGATAAACAAAGCGAGTGAGACAATACTACATGTTTATATCTGTATAGAGCCTACATTAATATACTAATGCTACTTAACTTAAGTCTATGTGTACGTACAAACCTAAAAAGCATGCATACAAATATGAAGTTAAGGAGAAAGAGAAATTGAAGGCGGGGGAAAGGGGGGTGAGAGAGAGTAAGAGAGAGACAGAGAGAGAGAGAGAGAGAGAGAGAGAGAGAGAGAGAGAGAGAGAGAGAGAGAGAGAGAGAGAGAGAGAGGGGGGGGGAGAGAAAGGGATTTAAAAATGATCTTATAAGTAATTGCAACATATTATGACTTGGCGCAAACAAAGCAAGTGCGACAATACTATGTGTGCCGATTTAGAAATAGATGTGTCTCTGTATAGAGCCTATATATATATATATACATACTACTGCTACTTAATTCGCTGTGTACATAAAAACATAACAAGCATGCATACATACAGACAGATTATACGGAGAACGGGACAGACAAAGAGGAAGTGAGAGAGAGATAAGCAGAGAGAAAGAGAGTGAGAGAGAGAGAGAGAGAGAGAGAGAGAGAGAGAGAGAGAGAGAGAGAGAGAGAGAGAGAGAGAGGGGGGGGGAGGGGATAACGAGAGAGAAATAGAGGAGAGAAACAGAATGAACGAGAGACAGACAGAATGAGAACGAGTGTATGTCTGTGTGTGTGTTTGTTTGTTTGTGTGTGTGTGTGTGTGTGCAAAAGATGGAAAGAGAGAGAGAGAGTGAGAGAGAGAGAGAAAGAGAGACAGAGAGAGAGAGAAAGAGAGAGAACGATAGAGAGAGAGCGAGCGAGAGGGGAGAAAGTGAATGAGAGAGATGAATGAGTGAACGTGATAAAGAGAGATAGAGGGAGAGAGAGTAGTGTGTGTGTGTGTGTGTGTGTGTGTGTGTGTGTGTGTGTGTGTGTGTGTGAGAGAGAGAGAGAGAGAGAGAGAGAGAGAGAGAGAGAGAGAGAGATACATAGAGAGAGAGAGCAGAAGATAGACAAGAGCAAAAATGAAAAAAAACTATATTCTTACCTTGAAAGGACACATGGGCCGACCTTTCCTCGTCTCGGGGCCGTAAAAGCCCGGTGTAGACACCCACTCCCTCACTTTGGCGGAACTTTCTCTTGCTTGTTTGGCGTGTCCGAAGTCTCCGAGAATGGCACGATCCTGATTGTCCAACAAAATGTTCAACGGTTTCACGTCTTGGTGGTAGATGTAGCGGTTGTGGAGATACTCCAATGCGCAGGTCACATCAAGGACGTGTCCTAGCATCCGTCGTCCTTTCAGAGGTTCTGACAATATCAAACTGCTAAGTGTCCCGTTCTGATAGTACGTCATCAAAATGAGGCCATGTTGAGGAACGCAGGCAAAGGCTATCATCTTTAGGATGTGGGGGTGGCGTAGTTCCCGAAGGAAGGAAACTTCATTGAAAAAATCTGTTTCCCCTGACTTTCTTTTCAAAGAAACCATCTTTACGGCCACTTTGAGAGACGGATCGTGTTTGGCCGAGGCCAAAACAACCTCTCCTGAGCCGCCACGCCCCAGACGGGGGCCTCTCACCAGGTTAAAGGTGTCCAACAAAACGTTTTGCTGGTCAACGGTCTTCATACTGCAGGTGACTTCGGTGACAGACTCCAAAAGAACAACGTGCACTCCTCCGTGATGGACTAAAAGAAAGAAAAAAAAGAAGAAAAGGGAAAAAAAAGGGGGGGGGGTAAAGAGAAAAAAAAGAGAAAAAGAAGAAACAGAAAAAAGGGTAAGAAAGGGGGGAAACCAAATAAAAAGAACCCCCCAAAAAAGAACAATAAGAACAAAACAAAAAGAGAATTAATATAATGTACAACAAACCGTTACAAACTCCAAAGAGAAATAAACACACGAAACTAGAATAAACGACTCCGAAAAAACGACTCGATTAGACTCCACAAGCGATGTGCTCCCTTCGAACGTCCAAAATGAAGTGACCACTTGGGGTGTACAACTGACTGGTCAAGTCTTGATAAAAAGAAAATATTGCTGGAGCTCGGTTTTCCCGCCTGCCGTCAGCAAGTCTATTGTCTGGTGAAGGCCAATGAGTTCTTTCACACCTAGCAAAATGCGCAGACAAGGGGAGCGAATTATGTATCCAGTGACCACGGCGGCTTACATCAAAGACACGCCGACACGCCGACAGCTCAGCGCCCGCTATGTACCTGGCTTGTTGGTCGGGAAGTGATTGAAGTTTTCTGTCTGTGATTACGCCCTTGTTGTGGCGTTTTGACAGCGTCTTTGAGGGTCAGGAGGTGAGATCTAGAGTCCTGCCCCATCTTTGTTTATTGTTGTTTTAAGAAACAGGCGAGGCATTCCAGTTTGAAAGGGATTTCTTAAAATATTTTCATCTGCTCTTAATTTCGCCGGTGAAATATTAGTAACAAACCAGGAGTCTCAAGTTCAAAAAAACATAATATTTCTTAAAACTGTTTTGGTGCCTGACTTAAAAATTCGATACTATTCAGGTAAAAATAACACATGGGGCAAAACAATACAACAGTTGCAAGTCGGGCACTAAGTTAGAAGAAGGAAGACGGAAATAAGAGACAGAAAAAAAAGTCAGGAAAAGAGAATATAACTCTAAATCTACATGTGTCAAAACATGTGTTTGTGAAAATACCATACAAATATCGTACATACAGCACACTAAGGTGGACGAGGGAGGGGGTGGCGGGGGGGGGGGAGAGACATCGACTAGACCCCAAACAACAAAGTGCGCACCTTTATACACTCTACGTTGTGCTCAAGGTAACCTTTTTAAAAAAATTAAACTCGACTCTATGAAGGGCTGTGTGTGGCCCAAAGGGCCGGAGTTTGCACTCCCCTGCTACAAAGGAAACATTCTGTTCTGTTACTTCTTTTGTTGCAGTTTGTTGTTCCGTTTGTTTGTCTCTTTATTTTTGCTTCGCCTCAGGCTGTGCTATGTTCTCTATAACGGCTGTAGCCGGTTTGCAAGCTTTTGAAATATATTTTTTTAGTTGTAATTCAGAAATTGTCATGACAATTACAGTCAGAACTCACCACAAATCAGATCAGGACTGAATTTCTGTGTACAGCAACTCAACGCTAAAAAATAACAAAAGACAAAAACCAGGGTTGAGTTCTCACAAAGGACAATTTGTTTAATTAATCAAATATGCAACAGTGCGCATTATTATATAAATAAATAAATAATAAGTAAATAAATAACTAAATAGATAAATAGATAAATAGATTTATTATGGAAAGCAATTTCTGCGGTTCAAGTCAAAATATTATACATTATATTAATAATAATTATTATGTTTTTCAATCCTTGTCACGTTTTCTTGCAGACGCATTCCGACATTTTTTTCTTAGTTTTGTATTTTTATTTTTCAAATTTAAATTATTTTTTTTAATGCACCAAAGCCTCTCATCTTTGGAATAACGGCTCTATGTCACAACACCGAAATGGGCAGCATGAAAAGAATTAGAGATTTTAAGCATTCTGAAATTGTTGACAGTGTCTTTTGGGGTCAGAAAGTGAGATGTAGAGTTTGTCACAACACTCAACTGTTACGCTAACGCCCAACTAGATCAGTGCTCGCCAACCTGGGCAATTTCACCCACTGGTGGACGATTTGGTAACTTTGGAAGGCGATGGGACTCACCAGCATTATCTAATGCCCCACTTTGAAA